TCCCTGTGGTAACCCGGCCTCTGAACTTCTCTGCCTTCAGTCAATTATTGCCAGGCCCAAACTATTTTAAAGGTTTGCTTTTAATTTTTAGCCTGGAAGAAGTGTGACAGACGCACACCACAGTAACCAGATGAAGCTGTTTCGCCTGCAATTATCAGAGAAGGTCATAAAAGATGCACTACGAGTGCTGACTTTAAAATCCATGAAGCTATGTTAACCTAGTAGATGCCCAGATGGAGCCATGCAAACATAAATAAATCTGCAGTAAAGGAATTAGCAACACAGTGAGTTAGAACAGCTAGACGAGGCAGAGGCTGTTGTATCTACATGGCAAGCCAGTTAAAGGTAAGGAATTGGTTTAAGTAGGGAAAGCAAAACGTCCCCAATGCCAGCCAGCATCATGCACAGTACTGAAGCATGGGGAAGGCTGTGGGAACATGCCATCACAGGGACCCTTTGCTCGTGGCAACAGCAATAGTCCCCATAGCAAAGTGTTATTTAAACCCCACTCAAGCATATCTCTGCTTTCTCAAAGTAACTGAAGTATGATACTGAAAATAACAAATAAGGACTGAATATGGAAGTCAAAGTGCTAAGCACAAATGTCTACAAATTTGAGGCGGCCAGAGAAAGCTGGGCCTGCGCGAACTGGCCAGCTGCCATTGATGGTACTTGCAACACACTTCATCCACAGAGTACCATGAAGAACGTACTCAACTTCCAGATCTCCCAAGGGACCTGACAAGGCTCACTGATCTGAAATTTGACACAGACTCTTCCAGGGGGAAGTAAAACTCATGATGATCACTAATTTGTCCAATATCCTCCGACACACTGAGGAAGGTGTATTTGGTTCCACAGCAGGAAAGGCAGAAACCTAATTCCTATAACAAAATACATTTAGAATATTAGACTGGGTTGAGGGTGGAAGATAAGGAGCTTGGAGGTGTGTCACACACACAGTTAGGCAGCAGGGAAAGCTGAAAGGGATTTGTGAAGAAGTCCAGAGGTGAGAATGAATGGGGTAGTGCTGGAGCTGGCTGGCAGAGCGACTGTGTCCACAAAGCAAATCAGTGGCTGCCCCACAATGTAGTTGGGGCAATCTGTAACATTTAGTGAGCAACCATGAGAAACCTTCACCCTGCACTCAGTTAGATGGTATTTTAATGTTGTGAAATGAAAACATGGCACTCAGTGCAGACCTCAAGACCAGCATAATTAGGCAATACTGAAATACAGAATAGCATTTTCACTCCTCAAAAGGACATCAAGTAAGTTTCCTACCAGCCATTTTTCAGTAATATGCTCGTAAGAATTGTTAAAGAACCTTTATCATCCATGCTATCGCATCTTACTGAGAAACTAAAGGACGTTGACACCCAAAAATCATTTTATAAAAGCAAAAATAAAGTAACATTATAGAAACACTATCTTCTATTTCAAATGGTTTTCTTTAAAAGTAAAAATAGCCATGTCAATTGATACACAGTATAGACTCTTTCAATACCTTACCCAAAGCAGAGATGACAATTCTTGCTTTTCATAATTCACACCCGAATTCACTGCTCCCACACACTGTTAGGTCACACTGCCACAATCACCACTAAAAACATGGTTTAGAGGGGTTTATCCTGCACTCTTATAAAGTGGTTTTCCTTTGCTGCAAAGATAACTGTGAGGAATTAATTCAAATGTTGTCTAGAAAAGCCATCCCCACTTACGAATCAGTATTAAAACACGACAGTAGATGGCACTGCTCGAATTCCATCTGAATCTGCCTATTTCCTCCAGACACCAAAGACAGGGGCTGTTAAGGCTCACCAAGGAGAGACTGGCTGAGGCACAATACAAGCTGATAACTGTTGAAAAGCATATGGTTTTTGCTTTCAAAAGAGTGACAGCAAGGGCTAAACTACAGGTCAAATATGTTAGCAAAAGTTTTGGTTTAAGATGGCAGGAGTACCCTTTCAAAAGTTCATCTACTATACTCCCACCTTTCAACTTAATGTTTTTTTTGCCTATAGCTATTTCAACAGCATGGATACTAGATATTCTGCTTTACATGAGCCTAGGTAGGACTGAAACATTCTGGATTTTTTTCTGAATACTACTGACACATTAAAGAGAACCTATTGGCTGTATTTCGACACTCTCTGATGTTCAGCTTGCAGAAGAAAGGTCTGGAGGGGCAGCAGTTTCACTGCTTCAAGAGTGTTCAATTAAAGGCTGTTCTGGAAGCTGCTCCAGCTACTGTATAAAGGAGACGCACAAACTTGGTGTAGAGAAAAAGAGGTTTTATATCTGTGTATATATACGTGTGTGTGTGTGTCTATACATATACATACATATTATGGGCTTTTTTATGCACCTGTATACACTACGACTCCTTTGTTAACCCTTTTGCAAAATAGACTCAAAGTCTAAGAACTTAGGTTCACAATATTCACACATTTAGTTAGTTGTCAGAACACAAGTAATTTTTACCCTGAATTGTGCAAATATTGACAAAAAAAGAAGTAATTTTTCTACACATTTTCAGACACCAGGAGGGCTTAGAAGCTGCATATAAATCATGCAGCAAGACTGACAATATTCCAAAAATCACTGTTTGAATATGCAGTTCTCACCAATTATTTTCTCCACAACATACAGTTTAGATCAGCATTTTGTTCTAATGTAAGCCTTAAAAGCCAAGACCACGCAGACATCAGAAGGGTAAGTATTTAAAAGCGACACTTCCTTACATGGCAAATAGCTTGCAAGTTAAGACACCCCTCATATCATAGTCCTTTACGTGGAGCAACATCACATCCTGCAACACTTCCTGCCATACCTTCTCTAACCTTCAAATATTAGAAGGGAATGAAAAAGATGCCAGTACACTCTGCTGCACACCCACTAGTGCAGCTAGCTCAGAGGTTTGAAGCAAGACAGTGAAGAACAGAAGTCATCTCAACCTGGGCCTCAGAAGGCTAATTTGGGCATCAGGCAGGTCTGCACCCAGCCTCACCTGGGTAGTGCAGCAGCACCAGGTGTTCTTTCACAGGAAGGAAAGCTGCCAAGTGGGTTTCTGTACACAGTGTTCACTGTGGCATTTCCACTAGCGAGCGTGCAAGACACCTTGGGCCTGGGCTACTGCCACTGTGAGGAATGCTGCTGGTGCAGCAGGCATATCCTACCAGGAATCCCACTGCAGTCAGGAGGGGAAGACACACATTGGCAGCCCTATTTTAAATTCCAAGCCACTTCTGCAGTGTCTTCCAGCATTAATGCTACTGAAGAGCAGTCACACTCCACATGTATCTTGAAAGGAAAACAAATAAAGCTTCTCCTTCCACTTCCGGGCCCCTTATGTATAGCCCTATGCATAGGAAGAACCGTTTGCTCAAAAAATACCCCAAAAAAGCTAAGAGTTGTTAGGAATCAGTTTGGACATGGGTAAACAATTTGTAAACCTCTTATTAACTTACCAGTGACACTACATGATTTACAGCCTCTTCAAGCCTCAGTTTCTTTAACTAGAGAGACGGTAGCGAGTTGTATGGCAGTATTTTCTGTATGATCTACAAGCACCACCTCTGCATATATTTTGAAAAACATTAAACACCTAGCAAAAGATAAAATACAGAGGAAAGCTTTTTCTGGACTGTAGAATTTACCAAGTTTCAGACTAAATGTTTTAAGACAAAGGACAAAAATAGTCAGCAACCTACAAATCAGTCACTACTAATTTAAGAACTCAGAATGCATCACGGAAACACTATTTCAACAGATTATGAAAACGTATTGGTGGAATACACTAAAAAATAAAGGAACAAACTTGAGATACTTGTTTGCATTCTATTTCCCTTGGTCAACACACAACAAACTTCAAAATTATAGCAAAAATACTTTTGTGAGCGAGAGAAGTATGCTGTCCTAAACAGACTGCCTGTCCGTGTTTTTGCTGCCTCACTGTTATTTTAACACAAGCTGCACGTAGTTGCAAGCAATTAGAAATAAGGGTGCTACATGCATTGCAGATCTGAGCTGTTTCAAAAGCCAAACATCATGCATGCTGCCTTTGTAATAACTCACAGACATCAAAAAGGCACCTTATCAGGACCAGTCTTTGTTAAAGATGGCAGATTTTAGTCTCCCAACCGGTTAACTTGAAAGCACTGTTTTAAATACCTGTGCTGTATCTCACAGCAGTTCATATTTTCCTTTTGGAAGAGATGGGGGTACCATCTCACTCAGACATCTTCGAGTTATGATCACCGTGAGAGAGATCATTCACAGCCCAGCCTTTCCAATTGCAGAGAATTTCCAGTTAAAAGCATCTTTGCCTCGAGTAGAATTGAATGTCAGACTGTTCATTTAGTCAAGAATCATACACTGAGCATCTACCTCTTCCGTTATTTAAAAGGAAACTTCTGAATCTTATGTTACAAGAACTGTATTTGGAGGAATCAGATTCACAAAAAGCTTCCCTAATTCGTTTACAATTATCTTCAACATTTGAAGGAATAGTATCAAAAACTCATAAGGAGTTCTCAAAGCTGATTACTGAGCATGCTTTTAGTAGGATAGCCATGCTACATGTACAGAGTAAAGTCAATTACCTATAAAAGATTTTGTATTGATCCTTTAACTAACAAGAAGGATTAACGTCAAAGCAAGATAAACATGAGGAGTTCTGTCATGCAGCATACACAGAAGCAAATCATAGTGTGATACTGTTCAATGAACAAGCGAAAATATTAAACGTTATGTGATTTTCCATTAAGCAGTGAGACATCTGGAGTTTTAAACAGGATGACAATCAACTAATCTCAAACCAGGTATTTAAACATGAATGTAATAGAAAAGTGGAGGCTAGTCTCAAATTTATATTTAGATAAATTACCTTTGTTTTTGACATTGAGTATTATGCATATAGTGCAATAAAGAGATGTTCTATGTCTATCAGTCCATGAAAAAAAAAAAAAAAAAAAAAAAAAATCCATCAGCACACTCCAGACAGGTAAGGAAACATTTATTAGAAACTGGTAGTTTTATAGAGCTAAAAAGGTAAACATATGTTTAAGAGATAAAGAATACATAACTGAACAAAGTCATCATAAAGGCACATAATGAAAAAATTAAATTTCAAAGACCCCATCTTCTCAACATCTGAAAACATCATTACCATCATGTTCAATACTCATAATTGCACTTGCACATTGTGAACAAAATGGAGCAAGTCTAGAAGACAGACACTGCTAAAGTCATCTTTGCACCACACACACACAATACGTTTGCTTATTGGTCACAGTCAAACAAAATTGGGAGAGTTGTGATATCAGTTCCCAATCAAGATACAAGAAAGTTGGCAAAACCAGGAAACATTCAGATGAGAAAGGCGTTGTACATATGGATGATTTAGATAAAATGACTTTATGTTTTTCTGAAAAAGTGCAGAGCCCAAGGTTTTTCCAAAGGGAAGGCCAAAAGACACAGATAAAGCTGCCATTTTCTGAAATCTGATAAAAAAACATTTCATAATACAAATTTTATGGATTTGTTATGTATCAGTTTATGGAGAATAAACACCAACCATGGAAACACTGAACACAGATTAACATCCGTGTTTGATGTTTGAAAAGTATGGCCCAAAGAGCTTGTGGAACAAGGGAGGTTCAGGTTGTCAGTCATGTTTGCTTGCTTACTTGCTTGTTTAAGAAAAAAAAAAAAAAAGACCTTACAGGAACAAAAGTTCTTCCTTCAGTAATCCAATTCCGGGAAGCGGTCTAAGAGCAGTTGCTTTCAGAAGGCCAGGGTAAATATAATCTCAAATTCACAAAGATTAAGACAGCACACATCGCAGGAAGCAGAAAAAACCTAACAAATGAGTTTGGCAATAATTTTTACTCAATTTCAGTGTCCAGGCCTGAAGACAACTGAAACGCGGCACTGCACTGCCCCCCAAAAAGGACATCACTTTGGAAGTACTTGTACATGGAAATAGCAAACTTCTTGCATCGAGGCAGTGCTGCTTTGTTTTTTGAGGAGAAGCTTCTTCTCAAACACCAGCAAGTTCTGTGTGCGTGCTTTGCTTGCTTCATTAACATCAATCAGATGGGCACCTGACATCAGACCCATTTGGTCACTTGGACAAAATGCTTCGGTGTTTTACTATCCGAATTTCACACACACAGCCAGTGTGCACAGAAGATTGTGAGAGAAACAGGATTTATCTCACATGACAAACCTGTAAAACTTCGTATAATAATGCAACCCCCTACTGGCTAAAAGCACATAGCAGACAGTAGCCCTCTGAGCGAAGGCGAGAATGGCGAGTCCAACATGAGTAACACTGCTCTCCCCAAGGCAGCTATGATGAGCTCTGCTATTGGCTGTATTACAATCACTGTCAGCTTAATACTGGATCCTCCACCTCATTTTTTAAACAGCAACTTGCATTTGCATGGAATGGATCTAGTAATCGAGCCTTTTCTGTTCCCGTATATTGTAATCCTATATTGTATCCTATCCTGTATATTATACTATAAAATGTGCAGCTGTAACCCAAAGTTTGTCATGGTTAATGGTGCTAAAATTTACAAGTGCAATGAAAAGCAGGTCCAGTAAAGCAAGTTATGAAAACCACTGATTGTATTACAAAAATAACATATAAATCCATTTGAGGTATTCTGATACCATGGAACAGCAGATTCTCAGGCTCTTATTCTTTAAATAAAAAATAAAAAAAGCTTAGCCTGAAGATAAAGGTGATGGGCTACATGTTAATCTGTAACTCCATCCTTGTCTGTATCTAAGACTCCATTTCTTACGAACTTAACATTAAGTCTTCAAATATAAGAACAGTGCTTTCTTCTAGGCGTGCAAAATCTTGCCTGTGAATTCTATGAGTATAGGGAGCATGACAAAACAAAAAGTCCCTGTCATATATTCAGTATCATGGCAGCATGAACTTCTCCTACCTTTGGTTTGATCCAGACCAAATACACATTTAGAGAAGACAAATAAAAAAAAGCCAATGAGTAAGCCACACATATTTTCTGAAAATATAAATATTGCTGATTTAAAGATAGTTTCTTGATTTTTTTTTTTTAAACTCAGTGACATTTTAAAGTGCAATATACATATCTGTTTAGAAACGGTGAACTAAAATTTAAGAAAGTTTCTTCCCACTTCAAGGCAAAAGTAGAAGTTGCAGCATCTCTCCACAAAGATCTGTCTCTGATTGTGAAAGCAGATTACTTGAGAAATAATTTTTGTTCTGGTGTTTCCAACAACATTATCATCTCACCTTTTTCCTTCCTTTCATGCTATTCCCAAATTCTGCTTCATTTTTTCATATACAACATAGCTGATACTGACAGCTGGAAGCACTTTCATAAAATTAGGGGCTATGCCCCTATAAAGTCCTTGGATTCCCTCTGCAGCTATAATTCTTTGAAAGAGACTGACCATGTTTAGCTGTGGAGCTCCTTCCACCGAGGCTAGAACAAGAACACAATGTGTTATACAACAGTTATAGTACTATTAAAATTCTTAAGCAAGTATTAAACACCTGGGTGGTGAGCCTACTATCACCTCTAGGGCTATTGATTAAAACTTGAGTCCTCAAACTCTTGAGAGATATCCATGTGTTTAAATCCCACTGAAAACCATTATCCACCTACATTTCTGTGGAAATCTAGGCTCCCATCCTTATGTCTATGCACAAACCTACGAAGCAAAAATCTCAGCTATGAAGCTGTCTTTATGACATGTCCTCCAGAGCAAACATTGCTGTCCACCTTCACAGGATGATGCAAGTCCTTTTCATTTTACCTCTAAAATTTAGGAAACATGCTCAATTTTAGAGAAGTGCTCACAGATGATGACAGCTCTGTGTCTGGTAGTCTTGTATGAAATGTGCATCTCAGACCACAGAGCACCAGTGTCTGAAACATTACATTCAACTTGAGTATAACAAACAACAGTGTTGGGGGTAATAGGGAGAAGGGACCAATATTAAGAAGTGTTTTCCAGATCCTTGGTTTTCCAACTTGGGGTTTTTTATTCCTGTGTCTCTGCTACAGCTATCCCAAATGATATAATTTTGATGTGACCACATATAAACATTTTCAGTACAAGAGGACTCACCTTGAGCCTGCATGCGTGTTCTGATAAGAGCAAGGGGGTAACTGGCTAACTGCCCACATGTGCTGGAAACAGTACCACATCCCAACAACACAAAAACACCTGGGTTAGCAGAGCTTGATGCATAGTGTTCTAGCCACGTACTCTTTAAGAGCTGCCAAGATACAAAATTAAATATTAAGACAAGAGATCTGCATTCAAGGAAGGAAACAAATACGACTTTATTCATAACATATCTTATGGGCTTAATCCTGGAAAAGCACCAATCTCACTACACCAGTCCTACATGCTTACTTTGAAAGTGCACAGGTAAAGCACCTTAACACACAGGTAAGGACTTTAACCAGACTACAGTAGTTAGTGCCTGGAAGACAAATCCATAAATCTATCAGCAGACACAGTGCCCATATTCTAGACCTGTGAATACTGCAGAGGGAGAAGGAAGGAAACACAACTCAGCATGCCCCAGGGTACAACGAAAGCTCACACAGCTGTGCACGTCACACCACAGAGAAGCAAGGATGCAAACTAGAAAAGAACTTCCATACTGCTTTGAAAATGTTCACTCAAGTAATTCTGCTGATTATTGCTGCAGTGTCACAAAAATATTTGTCTAGACTAGAAGAAAAATTAGTCTGCATCTGAGTTACTTAACACACTTTGAAGCAACAGCCAACATCTAAGGTAGATACAACATTTTATTTGTTGCTGATGGGTTTAAAAGGTACCAGTGCCTCTTGAAAGGAAAGACAGCAGTGTTTCAAACTCCTCATGACAACTGTATGTCAGCCACAAAGAATTCTGGCGACATGCACAGACACACAAGGAATTCAAGTTACTATAATCCAATTATAAATTGGAGAAAATGTCACATTAAGTATCCTAAGTGCAGGACAGCTAACATAACTGAAATATCATATCAGGTTTTCAGGGCCCATATTTGCTATAGAATGGATATGTTCCAGTCCAACACTGTTAGTTAAGTATGAAAGCATGTTGTATTGCCCAAGTCTATATAATCTTGCCTTATGAGTAAATTTTTGTTTGGTAGTTGCACGTGAGGCCCCATTGGCACAGGCACTCCTCCAGGAGGTAGAAAGAAAAATGTTAAAGTCTAGCAAGATTAGTGGAAATTCTCATTTGTCTATTTTAAATTGAAGGCAACTGTAATACTACAAGCATATTACAAATCTAACCAGTGATACACATATTCTAAAGAATATTTAACCGTGTCATAAATTAACTAATGAAAGCTACAGGCACTCAAGCGACCTAAACTCACCTCATAAACAGCAAGGTCAATGCCAGCGTAAGGAATTATACCCAAAATATTAGGAATATAGCCTTTGTAGAAGGCCTTCACACCTTCCCTTTTTAAGATCTTCTTAGCACAGTCAAACATGCCAGAATATTGCCCTGTTTTACCCACAGCCAATCTGGTCTTTAAAACCTAGAGGGGAAAAAAAATAATAGCCTTAGTTACCTACCTATTTATTCATTTATTTCATAAACACAGGAAAACACAGTATCTCTCTGCTTATTCAATTATCTGGAACTGACCTGCCTTTCATACTTCAAATCCTTTGTGATGACTATTGTTAGGGCTTTGTTAGCAGTAGGCTTCCTGAGGTTTATCATTAATGCAGCGTACATATTACCATACAGTAGCTTACAAATTATTAGCCTTTTTAAATTGCATTTTAGCTTTCTTTTCTTGATTAAGAGGCAGATTTTTGACCAACTTGAAGGCAACAGTGTGGACAGTATTTAACAGAAACATTAGCTAAAGAACAAGTGAGAGTATTAGCATACTAGCAGATTACACTTCTGATCTGAGAACAGCAAACCATTTTAAGAAAATAATCTTTCAAAAAACATGACACAGAGGCAGTTAAGGGATATAAAGACTAGTCTCACTGCTGAAACCCAGCATTTGATTAATAGTGAAAATAAGTCTATAGAGCATCTTAGGACAAATAAATTAATAACAGTATCCAAAAGAAACCACAGAGGGAATTGCATGAGCGGAAATTTGGCTTACTTTAAAGCCTCATAAGACTGCAGCTTCTTCAGGAGTTTGCTGGCATTTTGATTTTCTCTTTTACTCAGAAACACTCTAAAAAACACTCCTAAGACAGTACCATGTCTTTGTTAGGAAGATCAGAGCATCTTATTGCAGAGTAGTTCACCTGTCTCCATTGACCAGTATAATCTGGATGATCTATATATCATTTCAGTTATTCTATAATTTAACCCATCTCGGTACTCAAGCTAGCTATGATTCAGCAGCTCTAACAGCAAGAATGCTATTTAAAGAGAGACCATTATCACTGTCAGCAATGAAAACAGCTAAGTTCTATTTCTACTGGCGTCCCTCCCTACAAAAAAGGTATTTAGGTTACATTTTCCATTACTTCCTAATCTTTATATTCGTATTGGTTTAATCCCAGACCCAACATCTATTCCAGTTATTTACACAACCAGATAAACTTTCCGGGGAACTAGCAGTAAAGGAAATATATCCTACTTCTATTTAAAGAAAGCAGGATGAGAAGTATCTATCCTAGAGCAGTTAATCTATTAACTCTAGTTAAATCACAACATGTGTAGTACCACATACAAGTATGTCCTACAAAGGAAATAGCAGTTAATCCACCCAGCCTCAATTGTAGCTTCTCCCTCCATACTGATTCCCTAATCAGACCCAGATATAATGCACCAGAACGTCATCAGTTCCACTACAGACAAGACCATTCCTTGTTTACATATAGTGGGAAAAAGACTTCTGCCAAATTTAGGAAATACTTGCATACGTACTTAATTTTAAATGTGTTCTTGGGTTGTTTTCTTCCCTGAACTAGGTTTTATTTAAACATTGCTTTAGACAATATTATACAGCCAAATATATAGAAAAATTACAATTATCAGTTAGAACATAGTATATTCCAAAATGCCTAGTACTGAAATTCTGAAAGGAAGTCCAAAGTAAAAATAATTTAAAATAAAAGAAGGCAGAAGAATTCCTACAATACTTTCTAGAGCAAAATGGGGTTTACTTTGGAAACGTTTGGCAGAGTCTCCAGTGGAAGCAGATTCTCTGTTACTTACCTCCATGGGATAAATTGAAGTTTGTGCTGTTGCTCCAGCCAAAGAACCAGACACAAATCTTTCAACAGCGCCTAACTTGCCATCATCTTTAGTGAGTATCTTCTTATACTGTATAGTCAAAACATGTAAAATAAATATCACACACTTTTTTAGGAGAGGCAGGAGTTACTAAGGGAGGCAGGAATACAGTACAGAACATCTTTTCAAGCTGTACTTATTTTTTCATGTATTTACAGTTACATTTACTAACCCAAGTTTAGCACTATACTCACTGCAATTCTGTGGACAAAGATTTTTGAGAATACAATAAATACTCCAGCCTCCAAGACTCCTTTACATAGAACACCTCAGCCACCCACAGTACTGTCAGGTATTCCACAAATGGCCAACACAAGGGTACCCACACTATAGCCCCCAGAAGACGAAGAGCAACCTAACTCCCTTGCAAATCCTGTTCTCCAATCAAAGAATGAAAGATCAACTAGCACATTCACAGAGACACTCAGAGAGCTCTACAGACTTTCATTCAAGACAGAGACACCATCACACAAGAAGATGCCATTAGCTCCCAGAAGGCAGAGCAAGAGTAAGGAATAACGTGCTCAACGTTACTATATGGCAACAAAATCTGCTGTTCAGTCCTGCAGGATCTCAAAGTTTACTTGGCTTTTTGTTTTTATTTCACAGCTGTACAGTGTGCTCATTCAGTCTTACTTGAGGCACTGGCAAGCCCCACAGAGAAAAAATAAAGATCATTTAACTACACCAGCATGGGAGTTCATTTTCCAAAGGAGGATTAGGCCTTCACATCATGCTTAAAGCTGATTCAGAGGTAAATATAACTCTGAAATCCAGGATGAGGGCATCTTACATAGCACCATTAGACTTAAAAAGAATCCTGTATAAATTCAGCTAGCATATCATGCTAAGTTTTTGGCTGTTGTTGTTTCGAAGCAACAAAATCAATATTAATGCAGTACTCCATCCATATAATGCCATGCAGACTGGAGGGAAGTTTAAAACATATGACAGATTTACGTTTATTTACACTGCTTATAATACAATAGCAAGATCTGTCTAACACCAAGTACTCTATTAACATGGTAAGAACTCCTACATAATATATAACAGTGCAAATAATGAACAGTGAGTGTGATATAGTATTTTCTTTACCATCATTTTAATTCCTGATTTATCATCCTACCTGTTCATAAGCCCAAAATTTAATAGCCGTTTCAGGAGCTATTTTCACAACATTTACACCATTTCCCCGCCAGAGGGATCGAACACCACCTTCTTTCAACATTTGTTTAAAACCACTGGCTATATTCATTTTGTTTGATTTTGAACCATGAACCTAAAAAAAAAACCAAAGTCACAGTAAAGAACACTGCTTTGATTAGATTGTAAAACTCATCACCTGATATATTTAAGCAATTTAATACTTAAGTAGCAAAAACAAATCCACTGTTGAAAAAAAAATATTTTAGCGGCATAAGTATTACATTTTGTTTTCATTTTTGCCAATAGGTCTATGGAAAAAAAAAAATTTTACAAACACAAAATATGGAAGTTGTCAAAACATAACTAGACCCACAAAATTTAGATATTATATTTGGCCATCAGTTTTCCATAACAACTCTCTAAAATGTTAAGTGATACACTGGAAACTAAAACGCTCTTGAACATGGCACCTACCTGCATCATGACTTTAAGGCGATCTAAGGGTGCTGTACCTGTTCGAGAGACAGCACCAGCCACTCCTCCTGCCAACAGCTGTTTCCACCACTGTCCAGTCTTCTTCTCTTCCTCTGTGAACTCATCTGGAACAGTCAAACTATCTCCTATATCCAACACCTATTAAAATCCAAAGCAAAGATGTGCAAATAACTATCTCATTCCATCACCTCAATTTTATCAACATTTCCAGTTCCAAATTAACCTATCACCTGAGAATATGCAAATAAAATGCTAGTTAACAATTAAAAAAAAAAATCTCATTTACCTCCTATAATTAACTTGCTATGGATTGCTATTGCTATTCAACGAACAGCAACTTTTAATGACTTCTACATAGATACTGAGCAATAACACCACAGACCCACCACTTCAAAGACTGTACCATCATCATTAAAAATTGTGACAAATTTCTGCTTTGAATATAACCCAAACAAAGGCATTCTGTCACAATCAGCAGACCTTCACAGTCAGCACTAAAGCTCAAACACTTGTAAATTTCAGCTAACCTTTCAGACAACAGCCTTCTGGGATTAGTCTGATAATCTCCTAAGGATGCTAACAAGAGATTTCTTTCTCTCTCATGGCAATTTATTCACACATATGTAGGATTTCCCCTCCCCCTCCAACATTTTAAAGTAGCATGTTTATAGCTGGTATATTGGAATATTCTATTTCTGGTAACTGCTGTGTTTTGTCTTACAAAATTACAAGTTTTACTAATGCTTTATACATTTTCTTCTCATCAGTTACACTGAAAGACACAATGATTTTTTTCAGCTATTAAAGTTTGAAGTTCCATTAAGAGGTGTATGCTTGTATTACCTTTCAATTTGATGAGAGAACAACATCACTACAGGCTTTAGCGATAAAGCTGTCTAAGGCATAAAACTGGGATCTCACACATCATTTAAAGGTAGTCTCTGCTCTTTATGTAATTTATAACCATGATTTATGAGAAAAAAATAACTATAGATAAAGCAAAGCCAATATTATGCATAAGTTAAACCTATAAAGAAGCAAGAATGTTTTAACTGGTAAGTACTGACCAGGAAGTGTGTTAACCAACAAACTTTTTTCAACTACTGTTGACTATGTCCCTAATTTATGCTGTGTTCCCTATCTGTTAAGTAGACAGAAAGCTGTGTTAGTCCTTTGAAACACAAAACCTGCAGTATTCAAGTAATCTGTACTATATGTATAGCCACTGGACAAACAGAATAAGCACCAAATATTCTGGATATTGAACACAGAAGAGATTAACTGTAAAATCCTTTCATCCTTCTTACATTTGTTGTTTCCAAGTAAGTTGTCAGTTGCTCAACTACATGGAATCATCAAAAGATCAGTCAGAACTCTCAAAGTACAAACTGAGTGTTCTTACAGACAGTATGCATATCTACCAGGGTTTAAACCTTGTGTCTACCAAGCCCTAAACACAACTAAGAGAAAAAGCTAAATTAGAGGGGGTTTATAACAGAAAGGCCACAGATACCAAGTCATAATAATTCTACGCCAATACAGCTGTTGGCTTGGAAGAGTCTGACAGCAATTAAAATTTTACAATAAAAACAGAATTGGAAGAGTTGTCAATGCCAGCCAGGCATGTGTGGTCTCACAGCTGCTCTTATCTGAAACACCACACGTGCTAACTGTGATAACTGGGTCATCAGCTGACTGCAACACTGGAAGATCGCAAGAGACTTCTAAAATTGTTTCTTGAGGTAACTAATGACATTCCATAGCCATAAAGATTAAAAAAAAATAATAAAATTATGTTTACTAATAGTAATACAAAGCATTTTATTAAAGCAAAGGCTTTTCTTCCACTAAGCAAGCTGGGACCAGGACTATTTTATCTCATAGCAGTGCTTCAAGTGTTTCAAGCGTTTTTGTCAGTAAACAGGGAGCCCACTTGCTTTTTGGCAAGCATTTCTGAATTGAGGTTGTATAGCGTGAAACACTCAAAGCTTTCATATATCAAACTGTTTATTACAGAAATGCTGACTAATCCCTGAAGATCTAAATAGTCTCACTATATTCGAATAAATCTGTCTTTACCTACATTATTGGATTACTCCAATAGTCTGCAGGAAAGATATTTAACAAACAGGGTTACTACTGGTTTACTTACCTTATTATTTGTTCTTACAAGTCAGTCGCTGAGATGGCAAGAGCTCCGTTCAATAGTAACTTAAAAAAATTACCTGTACAGTAGATAGCCTATTGCTGTATTTTCTGTCATTCTTAATTGAAATTCTATAGCACAAAAGAGTGTGAGAACACGTGCACAGAAAATCATCACTAATGACACCAGTGATTTTATGAGAATGTTACTATATAAATGCAAATACTGAACTAATTTCCACATAAGAAACAATTAAAATGTTTCTATAATTTGTTTCAACACATGAAAAGCACTGAACATAAGAATGTACTGTAATGTGAAAAGAAAAATATTTACAGTTGTGGTTATTATCTTTCTATGAAATATCTCCAAAGTAAGAAAATAATTCCTTCCTAAGAGTTACTGTTAATTATTGCCAAAGCTTACATTAAGTTCTTTGTTCAGAAGAAACTCACATGACACTACCCTGCTTGTAAATGGGAGAGCACAAAGTGAAAAGGAAAACCAAACACTCCTAAAAACAGGTACCCATGAAATGTAACTGTGAAGCTGTTATACTCAGTATTGCAAATTAACCCAGCAGAGATAAACTTAACAGCTGCACTAAGTTAAAAGAAAAGTTTAACTTACAGTGGAATGTTTCCAATATCGAATTATTTCTTCAATGTCTGTAGCAGGGTTAAACATGAAATGATCTCTCCACTCATTCCAGTCTACTGACATTGTTCCATCAGCATCAATACTGAAAAGAAATTTAATAAAACTATATGAGGAAATAGTGGCAGGTATGGGGTTTTGTCCTGTTTTGTTGCCCTTTTTTTTTTTTAATATTAGCCATCAGTGACAACTGACTGCCAAGTCCATATGGAGACTTCAAGGCTGAATATGCCATGGCCTATCAATACCATGCTCTCTTTATCCAAGTGCATCTGGCATATTCAATTTAAAAACATAAAATAATGCTTCACTCTATCAACAACATTTACAGGGAAATGAGGTAACATCCTACTCCTGGAACCAGACAATCAAATAGTGATTAGACTTACTATTACCTAACAAAGAGATGGAATATATGATAATTCCTATGAAGGAACCACTGAAGGTACTGACACTCTTCAAAGTTACGATCCCATTTATCCTCCTCTTTGAATTACAAAAATATAATAAATAATGATACAAAGAAACTTAGAATACTTTAAGAAATAATAATTCCTGACCTTTGTAGAATCTTTTCTGCCTGTTTTTCTGAAATGCTTATACCCAATATCTTGAGGGACTGGACAACTTCTGATGGTTCAATTTTTCCTTGAAACATTAAAAGAAAGATGATACATATTTAAAACAGAGCTTAATATACTTAGCACCCTGGAGCTCACTAAGTTCCACTGTAACACTTACATAATAGCAAAGATAATTTTATTTAAACACGGATTATGTGTTTTGATTGTCCACTACAAGGACTGAGTGAAGGTAAGTACATTAAAATTATGCTACCAAATGAGATGCAAACATTCAGTGAGTTTAAAACTATTTTATCTTTAATAGTTACTTAGAAACTTCCTTATAGTTTCTCCATCTGGGGAACAAAGAGCCCCCGATCAACGGACCTGGAAGATAATAAAAAGAAAAAAATACTATAATGTATCATTTCAATCTATAGTAAAATATAATTATAATCCTGTTAAGAAGTAGGGGGTCCATATTCACAACTTTGTTTCCAGTTTAGACCAAGAATATAGATGAAGATAACTTTCAGTGCACTATTTCTGCAAGCAACGTTTGAACGAAGAAAATAGATCAATGCATACCATCATTGTTTTTGTCCAGACTCTTAAATGCCAGTTTCATCTTTTTCTCATGATCTTTAAGATACTGCATAAATTCTTCAAAATCTAGCTGTCCATCCTGGTTAGTATCTCCAGCTTTAAAAATTTTCTGTTGAGAGAAAATTCAACATGTGACTTTTCCAAATATTACAGGTCACAAAGCAACAGCAGCATCGCACAGCATTGGCTTTAAAAAAAACATCATATTGATAACTTTCTGAGTCAAATCAGGAAAACACTTAAGCATACACTTCAGAGCTATATTTTGTTTTCAGATTTTAACACTCTTGGTATTTTCGTAAAGAGAGAAAACACTCATCAGCAAAGATAGATTTAAGAAAGTGTTCTTCATTATTTACATAACTTCCCTATTCAAAGATTTTAGGCTTTCTTCCCAGCATTGACAAGTTACACCTACAAGTATCAAGTAACTGAGGGGAGGATAGGGACAAAGCAAAATCATGAAAGAGAACACCTTTGAGCCTGTGACTTTCCTGGTTATACATGAAAATTGTCAGTATATCAGTAAAATTAAACAGCCTTAACTATCCACTTTAATCCAGTGGTCTATTCATTATGAATTATAAAGGTTAAAATCCAAAGAGCAATTAACCATTTAACAGCTGACCAAAAAAATACAAAGGTCTTGTCTGACTAGTACTTCTACCCGACCCCGGGTTTGAGAAGGCAGGGCTTTCTGCTTCAAACTGAAGCCCTGACAAAAGTTTAAAACAAACCAACAACAGACTTAAACAGAAGCACAGTTATCTTCCATTTTTGCATGTGTGTCCTAGTAACTGCCCTGCAAATAAGAAACATCTGCATGTAAAATTAACTATGAGCTGGATGCATGGCATACAATTGCCAACAATTGCTTGCAGGAAACAAGTCTGAAATACAGCCTAGGCATACACCTCTCCATCAACAAAGGGCCAGAATACTTCATCATCTTCCTGTATGAAAACATACTTTTTAAAAAAGGGAAATTACAGCAGTCCCCCCAGGAGTCAGCCTGATACCTGCCGGGGCACGTCTTCAAAGGCAAAGCCCCAAGAAGAGCAAAGCCCAGGGTAACAAGCTCTGCAGGATTTATTAGCCTGGGCTTAACGCCACAGCAAGGGCTGCTCCATGCACAGAGGGCTGCAGAGAGCAGCGGGGCGAGGAGAGGCAAGGCCCACGGCACACCTTACCATCCCCTCCGGCAGGAGACACAGGAAGTGGGCAAGGAAATCCACCCCAAACCCCTGCTCCATAACACAATATTCAAAGGAAAATTATGCCTCATTTATTCATTTGGGCATTAGTCCCCATGGTTTCCCTCTATGTGTGAAATCCTGTGGGGGCAGCACTCTGTACCAGACAGACAGGAGACCAACCTGACAGCAGAGTCTCTTCATTAATTTGCAGTAAGTTTCAGGGCACTTCAGGGTATACATAAAACATGTGCCAAAAATTCTTCCAAATATCTTCTATTTCGCTGACTGCCTTGCGCAACTGTAGTTTCTGTATAAAGTAGCACTCAACAAGATTTGCACGGCTGTTCTAATCTGCAAAATCTGGTTTTAATCATTTTGTTTACTCCACTCAAATAAGTATAAGTCCTCAAAAGACCCAAGTACAACAAGTTCTAGCCTACAGAAACTAAAGGAAGTTCAAAACTCTGGCATATTTATTGCAGGTGTCTGAAAAAATTTGAAGACATCTGAATACATTTATGTTGCCTCCTTTATCCTTCCTATATCCCTGTACTAAAAGAAATGTACAATCTCAAAAAAAAACCCAAAATTTATAAGATTATAATACATCTCTCGATGGAAGGGAAGAAGATGATGTGGTACTCCACAGTGAAATAAAGAGTAAATAATTTACCTCCCATAATACAGCAAGTTATGCACAATAAAATCAACTCAAGTTACTGCATACTCAGATAAAGGTGTTTGGTACCAGCTTATAGCATTCTTGGTATACTCCTAAATCCAACTCGACTGTAATTTCTATTAATAACCTGTCAAAAAAAATATACTCATCAAGTCAGTTTCATGCCCTTGCCAATATGGTTAGGGTTATTCAGAATTTCCCATTACAAAAAAAATAGTTTACATTCATTGAAGTTTATGAAGGCATTCCTGACCACCATCTTCTAACAAGATTTTAAGAAAGGCTAATAGAGTAATCATTCAAAAAAACCCAAGCAAATTAAAAAAATCCAAACCAACAAAGACCATTAGAAATTACTCTAGCCAGGAAGGCACTGCAATCTCAACCCACCTTGTACTCCACACCTGGCACCTCATACTGCAAGATCAGAGTGTCCTGCTAGACTCCCACAGACTACTAAGAAGAGGTAATTAATTTATGTGGCAGTCATATACACACCTGCTTTGAGTGAATTCTAATCAACACCAATTGTGACTATTCCCTACTGCTATGTGAACTACACAAACAGAAACACAGAACAAGAAAAGTGGTGTTCTGGCTCACAGGTGTGACAAAACGTTAATGAAATTCTATTCATAAAACCTCCACTGCTGAGGATGATGCAAGTCAAAGAAAACGGAAATTCCTAGGAGGTTTAGAGAGCTGGCAATTACCACTTGTGAAGGACAGCACCTTTCATTTCATCTGCCAAATAAGCAGACTTTATATTGCAACAACTCCAACAGGATAAGCACAAACATAGCCTCCTGTCCATTCCCTACTTTTGTTTTTACAGTTATTTTACAGACTTCAAACCAGTCTCAGCCACTCTCAGTGCAGCAGAACAGAAGCGACAGGGAACAAAAACCTACTCTTTTCCTCAGCAGGCACATGCATTTTTCTCACATTACAAATCTCAGAGTTCACACAAACAAAAGCCTCTTGCTGTCTACGAAACATCGTAATTACGTGGGTGTTAAACTTTCAGATTAAAGCCAGTAATTTGCAAATTTGTGGAACAAACAGGAATGCTGAAAGGAGCTTGCCTTCCACTTGGAGGGCAGAAACTCCCTTGTGGGGGGTTATCTCCTCCATGGGCATAGCCAGCAGGAAGACTTGGCTCTGTGGGGAGCCTGGCACACTAACTCCCAGGTACAAACTGCCCATTCACAGCATCAAATAACTCTGGTTGGAAGGGACCACTGGAGCCCATTGAGCACAACCCCAGCTCAAAGCACATCTAATTAGATGAGGTTGTGCAGGACCACATCCAACTGAGTCTTGGACATCTCCAAGGACAGAGCTTCCACAGCTTCCCCTGGCAACCTGTTCCAACATTCAATCACCCTCACTTGAGTTCAACAAGAAGTCCAACTCTGTTGTTCTTGCATCTAATGTACTACCATATTTTGCACAGTTACAACCACTTGTCACTGTGCCACTTCCCGCTTCACCAACTTCTCTGATGGAGAACTGGATGCATTTTAAAATAGGCACACTTACAACAATAGAACAGGAACCAAACTAGATGCCAGGCCTCACTTGGAAGTCCTGGGAAACTATGTTCAGTGTGCCTGCCACGTAAAACCTGCCATTTCTTGTTACAGACTTACTGTGGGATCACCTCACCTTTACACAGGCCCAGCCTCCAGAGGAAAATGTTTATTTTTCAAAGCATGCCATTTCTTTTCTCATTGTCTGAAAACTTTAACCCCAAGCAATAAAGGTAATTCACTAGAACAAATGAAATGGTGACCACATAAAGAACTGCTAATTCCTGATAGATGTAGGAAGATGGTTTATATGGTCTTTCCTTTTAATGCTACGGGCCTTCAAACATACTGACTACAATGCTCCTGTGCTGACCTATTTGTCATGACACCACTGCCTTCATTTTTTTTTTTTGTAATTCTGCTACCTTTGTTCATTTTCTCCTGTATATTTTGTTAGCACAGCTGCTTTCAAAATCCTGCATAGCAAGGCAACACCAATGTGAAAGGCCACAAGTACACTGAAACAATTAAGAACTTTAAAAATAAAGTTCTGAATTATATAGAGCGCGTTGCAGTGTTGAATTCCTACTCCTCCAGAAGACCTCTGTATTTGGTGTGGAAACACAAGCCTGCAGGTCTGTTGAAAAAAAAAAAAAAAAAATCAGAAAAGTTACTGACAGGCTTTATAAACTCTAAAAATCCTGATGCTCTCAAAGTGGCCTGATGATTTATGAGATTACTCTGTGCCAAAGTTATGAACTTTAGCACATTCACAGCTACAGTGTAAGGACAGAGAGTGCGAGACACTAGAAATCTTACTGCTTTTATGTATACTTTTCTTTTAAATTCACAGTTTTATTTTTATATTACTTAGTATCATTGTGTATTGTGGGTAAGCCTTCACATTCTGGTTACAAAACTGAGTTGTGTGTGCAAAGTGGGGCTGCTCAGTACAAATTATTACCAATCATCTATTCATTAGCCTGTTATTTCAGCTAATTCATATAATGCAAAAAGTATTTAAAAGGAAGTTATCCATCAATAAGTTACTGGGTGTTTCTGGCTTCCTATCTTGCCATCTACAATACACAAGTAAAAAAACAACACTTAAAGATACACAATTGGTGCAATTAGCAATTCACTGTTCCGCAATCTATCACTAGAATTCCAAAGGACGCAGTTACAAATACTGCACAGAAGAAAACACCAGCTCCACAGTAAGAACAGCATTGTGTCTTGGGACATTCACATAGGTCACATTTTCTTTTAAAATCGAAGATACTATAAATAAAACCAATCACAATATTCCCTTCCCCTTTTCTATTTCCCCCTTCATCTCCAAAATAATTAGTGCCAGTCATTCACATAGCTCCGTATTCTACAATGTTAAGTTATTACACTGTAATCTTACTGAAAGCCAAATTGACTCACAGCTCAAGTATACATAACTCTTCTTTCTTTACTGGATACATACCCTACAATGCTAAGAACTAATGTTGTCCTTTTCCTACTTATATTGTTAAGACTACACAAGTTTATAATCTGCAATGATAACCCAAAAATCAGTAGTAAAGACTATTAAAGTCAGTCTTGTCAAACTGCATCACTTGGGACATAAATCCAGCATAAAGGGAAAGGGCCTGAGGGTGCTTTATACACAGCTTTATACCCCAACCAGTGAGTCCACATAACACACTAA